GAGGCATCCAGGTAACAGTTCCCCAGAGCAATCTTACCTTTGTTTTCTGCCTTCAGTTCCTCTGCCATCAAGCTGTCTTGTCGGTTACCAAGCACAAATGCTAGAAATGAGAGGATCAGCGCATCCAAGATTCCGATAATTGCCAGGATGTATGCCCAGCGGACGGAACAGGCCCCAAGAGTGTACTTGTCTGTCTTGTCTCCACACATCCGTTTTACTTCATCTGAATCCCAGCCATCCGGGAAAATCATACAGCCAAGCACAAGGCAGGCAGCTTAGAGAGAGAAAAAGACAAAAAATAAAGATGTTGATATAAATAATAAGATGTTCATAGTTGTCATCATTGTTCATCAAATCACTGTTTCTCATACTTGATTTAAAGAGCAGTGATCTTCACCACTGTCTTGCCCTCAGTGCTTTCTTTTGTGTTTCTGGTTAATTTAAAAGCTGCCCAGGATGCTGCAGAGAATGGGCTCTGGAAATGCACATTACAGTGAACCCAAGCATTCTGAGAGAGGCTAGGTATGTTGATCTATAAGAAAATATTTTAAAAAATCAAATTTTGGTGTGCATTTCTGGAAAGCTTCCATTGCAAATAGGCTATAAGGAATCATAACAGTGCAGAATGACAACCCCCACTGGCTTTGAAGAGCTACGATAGCAGCCAGGTAAGGAACTAGGATAACACGGAAATCATCACCCTGCAATTTGACTCTGAATCACAGTAAAAATTATTTTACATTGTGGCTACACACACACACACACATATACAAACTGAAAAGTTTATTGAAAGTAACTCTTCTCACATCCAGTGCACTTGGATATTTTCTGTTCTATTCTCTATTTTTTTAAAGGGCTGAAAAACAAAGTTTGGTACCACAGAGCTTTTATAAAAATTAAGAAACTTAAGGGATATCTACATTCTATTTCCCAAATGTCACTGTTAGAAGCCTATGAACAATCTTTATATGAATATGTTACTATGAAAATAAGTGGCTATTGTTACCACTTCCATTATATTCCAATTAATTATTTAGGGGTATGTGATCCTATTTTTAGGCCATATAAAGGCTTCTGAACAGTGGATTCATTCATTCATTTACTCATAACTCAGCAACTAATTATTGAACAACTCTTACAGAATGCCAGACACTGTTCTTGGTGCTAAGGGTACAGAGAGCAAGAAAAGAGACTTTCTATATGCTTTCATGTTGT